GAGTTGTGGCACAAAGGGGAGACAAGTTATGTGGCTTAACTAATACAAAATAATATTAAATGTAAGCTAATTGAAAATGAAATGAGAAAAAAAAAGATATATGGCTTAATGATACTAAGATTTCTTTCTACAGAGGCTGTGGGAAATATTGTGAAATTCCTGGGAATGCACCCTTGTGAGAGGTCAGACAAAGTCCCGGATAACAAAAACACCCACACATTACTCCTGGCCGGTAAGCAGCATTTCTTGGGAAGGGCCTGGGTAGCTTGTAGCCTGGATGCTACTGCATTCTGGACTGCAGGATCCCACTGGGAACACAGGTGTTGAAAATTCACAAAGTAAAAAAAGACCTGCAGTGAAAGTCTCCCTCCCGACCTTTGTTGCCAGTCTTCCAGATCCCTCCCAACAGGCAACCATTGTTACTGTTACTAACAATGCCAGTATGTCCTTTCAGTGATTTTATGGATATAAAAGCTAATAAGTACATATTTTCCTTTTTTAATTCAAATGTTTATGTACAAATGGTTTTACTTTTTACTTAACAGTACATTTTGGAAATCTTCCCTATCAACAGTTTCATTTGTTTTTCAAATTGTGGTAGTAAAATTATACATAACATAAAATTTACCATTTTACCCATTTTTAGGTGTACAGTTCAGTGGCATTAAGTACATTCATATTATTGTGCAATTATCACCATCATCCATTTTCAGAACTTTTTTATCTTTCCAAACTGAATCCTCATTCTTTTTTGTAGCTGCCTCGAATTCCATTGTGTGGACATACCATATTTTATTAGAACCAGCCTGTATTGATGAACATTTAGATTGTTCTAGTCATTTGCTATTACAGTGCTAAGGTGAATAATCACACCTTAAGTGCACTGAAATCAAAGTGCATTTCTCATTTTGATACATATTTCCAGCTGCCTTTCATAGAAATTGTATGCCTTCCTACACCCTGGATAATGCAATGTGTTATCAAACTTTATGACCTTTGCCAGTCTGGGTGGAAAATGGTATCTTGGTATAGTTTTATTTTACATTTGTTGTATACTGAAAGACATTAAGCATCTTGTCAAATGTGAAGTACCAATTGTATTTATTTCCTGTTTTGTGAATCATTTTCATAGTCTTTGTCTAATTTCCTAATGGGAATGGGATTTTAAGTATCATGGAAATATTTAAACAAAAAAAATTGAATAGTGTAATAAACACCCATGTTCTCATCTTCCTGATTCAACAACTACAGCATCTATATCCCCACCGTTGTCTTTCTCGCCCAAGTATTTTATTTTTAAATATACCTTTATTGGTTTCAGAGAGAGGAAGGGAGGGGGGAGAGAGATAGAAACATCAATGATGAGAGAGTTATCATTGATCAGCTATCTCCTGCACACTCCTGACTGGGGATCAAGCCTGCAACCAGGCATGTGCCCTGACTGGGAATCGAAATCTCCTGGATCCTAGGTCAATGATCAGCCACTGAGCCATGCCTGACTGGGTGTGCCCAAGTATTTTAAAAGCCAATTACAAATATAGCATATGTGTAAATCTTCCTGTATCTGTATGTTCCTCTAAGAGATAATGACCTTTTTTTTTTTTTAAAAACAAGGAGTTGGGGGCAATATAATTATCACTCCTAAAACAGGGAACAAAAGGAAATGGGAGGGTTTTGTTTTTTTCTGAGTGTTTATAAACAGTAGCTCTGCTTCAGTGCCCTGAACACAGCTGACAACCCCCAAACCCATGTTTCCGGCCACAGTGAAGCAACCCAGTCCCCTGGGTCTTGCAGACACCTGCTCTGCGGTTTTGTCATGGTGGGGCTGTCCCTTCATCTGTGCTATTAGATTCAGCCAACATGTGTGAAAGCCTCTGTGATACCAGGTACACTGTTATATGTCCATTAATTCATTTGATCTTGGCAGAAGCTTAAAATATGTTTAGTGTTATCTCCACTTTAGCTCAGAGAGAGTAAGTGACTTGTGCAAGGCCTCACTCAGGGATTTCAGCCCAGTTTTCCTGGTTCTGGGCCTACTCCCACTTAACTATCCCAGAGCTGCCTTGATCAGTTGCTGCAAATGCCACTTTAGCATAGCCTCTGCAGCCCCCTTCTGCCTTATGTACGTGTACTTCTCTCTTCCCTTCTAGGTGTGTTCCGGGGTGGTCATGACATCCTGGTGCGGTCTCGGCTGCTGCTTTTGGACACAGTTACAATGCAGGTGACAGCGAGAAGTTCAGAGGAGTTGCCAGTAGACATCATCTTAGCCTCTGTTGGCTGAAGCTAGCCTGCATAGGCCCTACTCCTACCCTTTCCCCCCAACACTACACAGAAGTCTCACCTTCCTCATGTACCCAGTGGAAATTCCTTCCTACGCCTCTGGATTCAAAAACAATTAGGAATAATCGGGGATTTTTATTTTTTTTTATTTTGCCTTTGCCCCAGGACTGTTAGGGGGGATACTTTTTTTTTTCTTTAAGGATCATTTTATTTTATCCTAGAACTTGCTGCCCTGCCTGCCAGGGAAGGACATCACAAATTAATAAAATGCTTGCATCTCCTCTTGAAATTATCCCCAAAGAAACCAGTTTATCCCTATAAATAAATCAGCATGTATTTATTGAATGACTGCTATGTCTGCTGACTCATGCTTAGGGGCTCCACCTTCCCTTTCTAGGCCTCCCCACCACCAAGAACACCTACTCTATCCCCTTTGCATCCATAGACCTTTCGCTGCTGTACTTACCATGAGGCAGGACCCTCTCCTACTCATCTCTGTCCAAGCCCCATACCCAGGAACAGGAGCAGTACAGGTTTGCTGAGGGAATGACAGCAGTTGACAGACTGAGTTTTTGCAGTTAGTCTTGCACTTCCACAATCACCTTCCTTTCTAGGTGATAGATGGAGGCCCCTGAGGGTTTTGGATCAATAACCTGGGTACCCCTAGCATCAGTCCAATTCAGGAAATACACAGGAAAAACAAACTTTAGAGAGCACACTTTATTAGCTCTAGATGCAGAAATCCCTGGCTTATGTCCCAAGGGAGCAGGCTCAGAGGCCACTTCAGCTGCATTTGCAAACTCAAGCTAGGTGGTATACCAACCTGTGACAAATCCACTTGCAACGCCCGTGTTTAAAAATCCAGGCCAGCCCTAGCCAGTGTGGCTCAGTTGGTTGGGCATCATCCTGTGCACTGAAAGATTATCAGGTTGATTCCTGGTCAGGGCACATGCCCAGGTTCCACCCCTGGTAATGGGGTGTGCCAGAGGCAGCCCATCCATGTTTCACTCTCATATCAATGTTTCCCTCTCCCTTTCTAAGGATCAGTTTTTAAATCAAAAACCCCCAGGCCCTCACTCTTAGAGATTCAGATGGGGGGGGGGGGGCTATGCCATGAAGGTGAGGGCCTTGGAAAGGCCCATTCTGGTGCCCACTGAAGTTAGAGTGACTTGTGTGATTCATTAAAGTTTTCCCGATGGTCCATTTTTTGCCCCAAACTTTGAGGCAGTTATTAGGACTGTGAAGTAAATATTTCCTGCTCTAGCCGGTTCTGCTCAGTGATTAGAGCAGCAGCCTGCAGTTTGAAGGGTCTAGGGCATGTACCTCAGTTGCAGGTTCTGGCTGGGAGGAGGCAACCAAATGATGTGTCTCTCACATCCATGTTTCTCTCCCACTCTGAAAAGCAATGGAAAAAATATCTTTGGGTGAGGTTTAAAAAATAGTAATATCCTGAAGACACATTTCCTGATTTCACCCCTACAAAGACCTGGTGCCCTAGAGTTATGGTTCCCACCACACAAAGGGGCACTTCAGGCGCCCTGGGACGGTGCTAGGACCTCTGCCAGCCCCGCTGGGCCGAGCCGTGCCCTCGCGACTCCTTCCGTAGCCCCATTCCTGCGGTCCGCCCTGGAAGGGCAGTTAGCCCCGCAGGGGACCTCAGACATGGAGGAAAGCGCACTCCAAGAACCGCAAGGTCGCGGAGTCCCCATAGGCATCCTTGGTCGCCGGGGCCACTTCTAGAAGATTCAGACTCCCGGAGCCACTTCCCGTCACAGCGGGGGAGGAAACAAGCCCGGACTGCCGGCGGGCGGGAGGTCACGGGAGCCGCCGTCTGCTTGGGGTGGGGCTAGGCCGCGTCGCTGGGCGGGGCCGGGGCTGGGA